GGATTTTCACTTTTACCCCAAATGGGGTAATTTACCCCTGTTCCCCGACCCATGATCTATGGCTTGAAAACAGGGATGAGCACCGCCCCCTAGAGCTGGACATGACTGGACTAAATGTCAAGGGGAACCTTTACCTTTAGCTTTTTCTGTTAATATGCATTCCTAATTCACCTCAGAACTTATTCTTCATCAAATCTGAAGTGATAAAATGTTTAAAGTACAATTTTATTTGACACAAGAAATTGCTATATGGAAGTTACATAAACTGTGACAAAAAATTCTTAAAGTTGTTTACAGCTATCCTACAATTAATAGAATCTAAAGTTAAGATATAGGAATCATTGTTATTGTGGTTAACAAAAGATAATGATTTTAGGAACTAGCCTGTGAAGTACTTTTTAAAGTATAGTTTTATAAGCTAGTATTACTTTGTCCATCTCATGAGAAGATAAAACTCCCTGGAAAAGACCCTGATGTTGGGAAAGTGTGAGGGCAAGAGGAGAGTGGGATGACAGACGACGAGATGGATGGACAGCGTCATTGAAGCTACCAAAAGGAATTTGACCAAACTCCGGGAGGCAGTGGAAGACAGGACGGCCTGGCGTGCTCTGGTCCATGGGGTCACGAAGAGTTGGACACGACTTAACAACTAAACAACAATTGCTAGGTTTAATCTTGAGGATCTGGTCAGTTACACCTGCATTTCCAAAGTGTGTTTATATGTAGTTTTTCAATGCAGTGGTCTTCACTGAAGTGAGTTACAAAATAATAGTTCATTCCATGTAAATGACTGCCAAAATGATGTACTTCTGTGCTGCTTTTATATATTTATGTATGTACAGAAAAAAGTACTTTATCGTGAACAGAGTGATGATGTTCATGCATGCAAAATATTTTTGTGAGGATACTCATAAACTAACAGGTACTTGCTTTAAATTCTTTGCACAGACTTAACCACAACATTGCGTGCCTTTTCACAGACTAAGGCAACAGTAAGTGTTCTTTTAGCACTGAAATGTATGACAATACATGCACTAGTAGTAGGCATCCTTCAGTCTTGAGAGACTGTGGTAACATGCTCTGTATGGAGGTCTTGGAACAGCATCTAGTGTGGCTGAGAAGGCCAATTTGAGAGTGACAATCCCTTCCACACTGAAGTCAAATACAATCTGTCCCCTATCCAGCTCCCTGGTGTTGCTGGTTTTGGAACTGCCTCTTTGCCTCAGCTTGCTGTACAAGTGTCTCTTCAAATTGGGAGAGGCTATGATGCACCGCCTGCCTCCAGGCTGAACACTCAGACGTCAAGGTTTCCCATCTGTTGAGGTCCATTCCTAAGGCCTTCAGATCCTGCTTGCAGATATCCTGTGGTCTCCCTCTGGGGCGATTTCCCTGCACTAATTCTCCATACAAGAGATCTTTTGGAATCCGACCAGCCACTCTCACCACATGCCCAAGCTAATGTAGACGTCGCTGTTTCAGTAATGTATACATACTAAAAATTCCAGCTCGTTCTAGGACTACTGTACTCTATTTGGAACTTTATCCTGCCAGGTGATACCAAAAATGCGCCGGAGGCAGCGCATATGGAAGGTGTTCAGCTTCCTCTCCTTTTGTGCACAAAGGGTCCAGGACTCACTGCAGTACAGGAGTATGCTCAGGACACAGGCTCTATAGACCTGGATCTTCGCATATGTCGTCAGCTCCTTACTGAGCCATACTCTCTTGTGCGTCTAGAGAATATGGTAGCTGCTTTGCCAGTGCATTTATCCAGCTCAACGTCTAGGGAGAGAGTATCAGAGATCGTTAAGCCAAGGTACACAAAGTCATGAACAACCTCCAATGCTTGCGTGGAGATGGTAATAGAGGGAGGTGAGTCCACGCCCTGGTTCATGACTTGGGTTTTCTTCAGGCTGATTGTTAATCTAAAGTCTTGGCAGGCCTTGCTAAAACAATTCATGAGTTGTTGGAGGTCTTCAGCAGAGTGGGCAACAATGGCTGCATCATTGGCGAAGAGGAAGTCCCACATGCATTTCAGTTGGACTTTGGTTTTCGCTCTCATTCTAGAGAGATTAAACAGCTCTCCATCTGATCTAGTCCGGAGATAGACACCTTCTGTTGCAGTTCGAAAGGCCTGCTTCAGCACAACAGCAAAAAAGATCCCAAACAGGGTTGGCGCGAGGACAGAGCCCTGATTCACTCCACTTCAGATGTCAAAGGGATGTGATGTTGAGCTATCAAAAACTACAGTGCCCTTTATTCCCTCATGAAAGGACCTGATGATGTTAAGGAGTCGAGGTGGACATCCAATCTTGGGGAGTATTTTTAAAAGGCCATCCCTGCTCACCAAATCAAAGGCCTTTGTGAGATCTATGAAGGCCACAAAGAGTGGCTGTCGTTCCCTACATTTCTCCTGCAACTGTCTGAGGGAAAATACCATGTC